ACATGTTCAGTTGCGATTTCGATGGTTGTGCAGTTGGTTGCGTGGACGCAAAAGGACTGCCGCACTTGAAGCGATGGAGGGTGGTTACCACATGCCCTCGCCTCGCCGAGGCCCTGAAATCTAAGCGCTGCAGCCATCCAAAGGGTTTCAAACATGCCACTATTGAGGGCCAAGCTACACGTAAGACTGCAAGGTATCCATTCCCAATGTGTGAGCTGATATGCTCGGCATGGTACCCTGAAAAGGTATCGGGCCATGTGCCAGCAACGCCGGTTGTTGAGGTGATGCCACAAACGCACCGCGAGCGTGAAGTACTCGCACCAGCATTGGCCGCTGCGTCCGACGCCGATTCTGAGCCAGAGATGCCACCGGAGGAGTCTACCATGAGACTCAGAAGAGAAGCGCGAAGCTTCGAGCATCAGCTGCTACACGCTAAGAAAAACAACCAATGTGAGCACTGCTTGAGAGGTAGGATGCTAAACAAGTACAAACATTCGCATCGCCCAGGCGATGATGAACCAGCAGAGTACAAGCATCCAGAATCCTTTGGCAGACTCATACAAGCAGACAACATTATTGTTTCTGCGGAACATGCAGGGATGGGAGGCGAGCAAAATGCGCTTCTAATAAGGGACCATTACTCAGGTGTGTCCATAGCATACCCACAATTAGACCGCTCAGAAGAATCCAATTACTTGTCAATGAAACACTTTGCAGGAGTTGCTTTGAACGGAGCCACAGACACGGTGTTCAAATCAGACACTGCCGGTGAGCTCACAAATGCCGCGCACCGCTTGTGTTGGACTGTTGATCCATCGTTGACAAGGGCTTGGCCGCACAATGCATCGTGTGAGAGGGACATCCGCTCCCTGAAGGAGGCTTGTAGACCATCTCACTTGCAGGCCGGGTTCTGGAGAAAGCTGTGGCCAGTGTCTCTGGCATACACGGCAAAAGTTCGGTCGTTTTGTGAAAATGCTCCCATCTACCCCCATGAGGTAGGTGGGCCTGCGGAGGAAGCCAAGAAGGGCAAGAGTAAATGGGAGGTTGCCACGGGGAAACCCTTCAATGGAACCCTCTACCCCTTGGGGGCACTTGTCTTTTATCATGCTAAGAGCAGTGATGGCATGGCAGCGCCAACCACACGCCCTGCCATCTTTGCGGGATGGAAGATGGAGCCAGGCCTTAGACATAGGGACGTAGTGCAAGTTCTAGACTACGAAGCTCTTAGGCAACTGTCTCATAAGTATTGGGTTCCAAAGGATGTGCATCAGAAAGAGGTTTACTTTCCACCTGTTGAATACATTGAATACCCATTACAACGTGCTGCACAAAAATCCCTTCTTGATGTTACTGATCAAATGCATGAGCTTAGGAAAGCGGAGTTTGACAGATCACTCGAAAGGGGGGTACTTCCGTATGAAGTTGCCATTGATGCGGTACCGTACTCAGGAAAGGATGGGGGAAAAGCCAGACACTCGTACATCACTTTCGGTAGGCTTATAGAGCATGGATTTACCAAAGGTTGCTCAGGTTGTGACAATGGCACCACTCGCCACTCACAAGAGTGCAGGGACCGCTTTGATAAGCTATATCCCAAGAGCTCGCCGGCGGAGACCAAACCGGAGGCGTCATCAGACGCACCTGTGCCAGAAACTCCTGTGCCTGTGCCACCAACGCCAGGATTTGTTCCTGCGCCATCCACGCCAAAGCCTCGGATCAAGGAAGGTGATCCTGGCTACGATCCCAGATCTGAAGGGCCAGGGGATCCAGGATACATTCCGCCTTCAGCGGAGGCATCTTCCAGCAAGACTGCTGCGATTGCGACGCAGGATCCATTTTGTGACAAGGACTCACTTGAGTTGGACTTGTATGCACTCGTAACAAAATTGCTAGATAGAAAGGAATGGATAAAAGATCCTAAAGCCGTGGCAAAAGTCAGGGAGGAATTTGACGGCTTAACCGGCAAAGACACGTGGGATCTCGACTCGGTCGATGAGCATGCCAACATCGTGCACAATGCCAAGCTAGCCGGCAAAACTGTGCATATCGCAGACATAATGTCCATATGCAGTCGTAAATACGATGAGCTGCCAAAAGAGTATCATCAGCTAAAAGGGAGGATAGTGTACAGAGGAGACAATGCGCTCTCGCCATATATCAGAGTCTGTCAGCATCCCCGGCTACTATCACAGCCGCTAACGCCGTGATAGCCTTTGGGCAGCTCCCCGGCAGCACTACGACTAGCGCCGACGTTGTGAAAGCATATGTGCAAGCTCCGTTAGGAAGTTTGCATGAAACATGGGTGCGTTTGCCTTGGGAATTATGGCCGGAATCTTGGAAAGGTAAGTACAAGAAGCCATTGATAAGGCTACGCAAAAGCCTTTACGGGCATCCGGAGTCGGGCGCACACTGGGCTCGATATCTCGAACGGGCCGTCGTGAAGCTAGGGGGCCAGCCTGTGGATGGGCATCCTTCAACATTTTTCTTCAAGGAACGAAGCCTCTTGTTGACTGTTTATGTTGATGATTTGCTGCTCTCAGGAAGCATCGCTTCACACACCCCCTTTTGGGAAGAATTGGGGAAGGTTATCGAGATCGAAGATATCGGTGATTTGGGGAGGTTCCTTGGTAGGCACCACGAACTTGTCAGAGTAAATGGTAGAGAGGGCATTGCCTTTAACGTAAGGGAATACATGAAATCTGCTGTTGAAATGTACTTGAAACTCAGTGGTGCAGAGACCATTAAGGGAGCTCCAACTCCATTCCTTCCAAAGGGATCAATCCTTCCAGAGGAATGGGAGGAGAAAGGCCAGCTCGAGGAACACGCATGTGCAGTTCTCATGAAACTCCTGTGGGGGGCCCGGCTAGGCCGCCCAAATGTGCTACGGGCAATCACTCATCTTGCCACACTTGTCAGTAAGTGGAGTAAAGCATGTGATCGCATGTTGCATAGGCTCATGGCGTACGTGTCACAATCCACAGACTACACTCTGGTCGGGTACATAAATGACTTGCCGGAGGACTTGTGGCTGGAGATATACACAGATTCGGACTTCTCAGGCAGCCCTGATTGCGCTCATTCAACCAGTGGCGCATGGCTGCAGTTGCGTGGACCCCTTAGCTGGGCATCCAAGAAACAAACAGCAGTCTCTCGGTCAACAACAGAGGCAGAGGTCATTGCCATGGCCTTTGGTGTGTTCTCAGAGGCACTTCCCATGGAAGTGTTGTGGGGCATGGTCCTTCAGAGAGAAATTCACACTATCATCTACGAGGACAACGAGGCGACCGAGAGGATTGTACGCTCAGGGTTCAGTCAAAAGTTGAGACACATAACCCGCACTCATAAGGTTAACTTAGGTTCCTTGTGTGACGTGGTTGCATCTCCGGACCGTACCCTGAAACATGTAACATCTGTTGACCAGATCGCAGACGTGTTCACGAAAGCAGTTGAGCAACAGGGCTGGCAAAATGCTCTCAGGTTGCTCGGCATGACCACATCCGTGCCCGAGACCGTGAGGCGTTCCATGGCCGGTTTCAAGCTGCAGCAGGATCAAAAACCACAGTAGGTTTGGCTTGTATGCTTGTAGGCCATCTTGAATCCGTGCGCAAGAGCACAGGACTTGATCGGACTCAGCATCTTGTTGAACTTGAAACGATCGTCAACCGCTGCCGTTAGGCGCGATCCAAACCGTGTGCGAAAAGACACTTGTGAGGATAGCTTCGTGTGTTCGCCCGCTTGTGTCGCACCCACCGGACATCAGACCAGGGGGGTTACTTGTGAATGCATGCTAGCTGCTAACACTTGTGATCACCTTAATCGCAGGCAAGGCGAAGGACGCACGTCATGATGTGTCAGCCTACAACAACATCAGTGGTTGTGACTGCTTTGGACGCATTGACAGTTGCCACCAAGAAATTTTGCACGAACCCAGCATACGGCTGGAGGCCCACTGGCAGTGTAATCGCACTGATCTACATGTAGAGAGGGGGGAGAAGAAAAAACATCAACTCAAATGGTCATTTGGACCATACTCTACAGTGTGATCATGTGCCCCGGAATCGCAGTGCCATAGGTTTCCATTCCTAGCCTGAACTGTTTGCATCATTACATTTGGCTCAAGGCAAAAGTCCGTGGGCGGGGGCGGGTCGAATCCCTTAAGTGTTCCTCGTTTGCGGTTGCCATAGCACACACTGGAATCTGTCACTTGACAGTTGCTTGCACGGATTGCACAACTGGGTTCAGGCGGCGGATTCTTTTTATACTCCTTTGAGGATACAATGGTTCACCCCAGGGCTTCTTCTTTCCAGTAGGTTATCAGGGGTTGGTCGGTTGCTTGTCTCTGGTCTACTGACGCCCCCTTTTGGCAGACCCCTTGAGCCAGATGTGCTGCACGCCTGGTGTCCTGCCCCACCTTGCAAAAGTCCAGAAAACCATCTGGGACGTTCGCCATGGGAGGCAGGAGCAAGAGGAGTGCAGCTGGCAGACCGCACGGTGTGTGCGGCCTGTTGCAGGGTTGGTCACCTATCTGTCGTGTCTCTTGGGGGAAGGTGTTAACCGTCTCCCTCATGCCATGCCTGTTCTGCTTGAGAGGCATGCGCTTGAAATTTCAACTTGAGTATGTCACCTGACCCATGTGTTTGTCGAACTAGGAATCAGGATGAGATTCAGCGGCTGTCCTCAGCCCATCTTTGGCATATTTGTGTTGTTGCAATTTCCGTTTGTGATTTCAGACTTTGTGAGAAGTCATCAGGACGAAGTCCCATATTCCTGATGAGACGTGAAACCATCCAACATCTTGGAGGCGTTTGAAACCGCTTGGAACCTGGACGTTTTCCAACATTTGACCCCCGCGCCGGCTGCTCATTATTTTCCTCTCAAGCCCTCCCACAAAGGTGCCATGTTGATTTTTCGTTTGTGAGCCATTGTTTTGTTGGCTTTGCTCAGCCATTCCGCCCCCTCATCATCAGCTCTGCTCTTCCAACCGAATTCGCCGTGTCGCCATGGCTGCAGCCATTCCCTCGGCCGCGCCGGCTTTGGGCTTGGCACTAGGACTTGGCTGGGGGCCGGGATCCCTCAATTTGAGCGCCAAAACGAATTTAGGGGCCCCAAAACCCGAAACACGGGGCCATTCTTGTAGGTTGCTCCAACTCGGGGTGTAGTAAAACCTGCATATAGACCTTTGTGACCATGTTGAACCAAAGTCAACGAAACCTGTGCGTTGCTCACTTGCCAGGGGTTCTGATGCTTGCGCCCAGGCCGGAGAGATGTTTTGATTGTAGGGAACCTTCCCTGGCTTTGTCTTGAAATAGGGGCCCTAAAATGCTGGGGTGAGTGTCATTTTACCACAAGCCGATGAATCGCTTCCCCTCCCTGACACTAACATGGCACCTGACAGAGGGCGCCTTGAAGAGCAGATTGTTCTTCCAGGTACCCTCCCACAGGTGCCACTTTAGAGAAAGGAAGGGGATGAGCAAATTCGAGGTGTCCAGGCATCAAGCAGATGCATGCTGGGACTGCCGAGTTTGTTTTCAAGGGCCCGATTGGCCCCCACTTGACACGATAGCCAGACTTAGAACAGGCTGGGCCAAGATGGGCTGAAACCAACCAAAACAGTTGGCCGCACGAAACGCACAAACAGTAAGAAGCTCAAGACCAATCGACCAAACAAATGGACCAATTGACAACTACACGACCTGCAGCAGGCCAAACAAAACCGGTTTTGGCCCCAGGACCTCGCCCCGGGTTCCGCCGGCTCGGTTCCGGAGCGCTGGCGCGGCGCGCGCCCAGCAGCCGTCGCGGGGCCGCGGTGGCCGTGGCGATGGCGGCGAGGAGCATGAGAGGAGCCAATAGAGCTGAGACTAGGTTCCCCAGCTAGGTGCCCTTTTACCTCTTTTTTTGCGGGGGGGAGGGTTCCCCTACTAAAATTGACTACAGAAGCAAGGGTACCCTTATAGCTGTCTGGCCCAAATCCATTCAGCTCAGGGAGTAGGGATCTGGGGACCTGCGACACATGGTGCGTTGGTCGTCCACCAAGCTGTGGTCTCTTGCACAGTGCCCCGCTTCTCGTGTGCAGGGCCTTTAGTGGCCTCCCTGCTGTGCCCGTTGTGCTGTTGGCGTGCTGTTCCCCCCCCCCTTTTGGTGGTGTCGCCCTTTCTCTTGGCTTGGTCTCTTTCGTTGATGGCTGCTTCGCTTTGGTCCTGGTGTGTGGATTGCTTTGGTGGGGTTCCGCTGCATGTGCCCATCCCTGCGTTAGGGATTGGCCCTGTTCTTCGGCCCCCTCCTCTCACTGCATGGTGGCGATTTGATGCCCCAGGTGCCGGGTGCAAACCTCATGGTCCCTCCCCGGGAGTTCCACTTCCGGCAGTGATTTCAACCGGTAGCTGTTCAACGTGACGGTGCCCAGCAACAGCATTTTATGCCGACTTTCCTCGGGCCTTTTCGTTTGTTTCCCTCGCCTAGCAGTACAGCGGTTGCAGTGGTGGTGGGAGCTGGCTTTGGCTTTGCCTACTTAGCGCCTGTGCGGCCCTGGATGCTGGCCTTGCCCAACTTGGGTACGTGTACAAGCAGATTTCCGAATCCGCTTGGCAGTGTGGGGTTCTCAATGGCATGGTGAAGTTTGTGCAGATTCTTGGCGCCCTGGGCATTGTGCTGAAGGGCATCGTGTAGTCCTACTGGCAAGACCCCATGAAGCGAACCATGCAGACCCGGCTCAATGCCGTGGATGCTTTGCTGTCGCTTGTGACCTGATGCCGTCAGCCCCTGTTGGTGGCGCTCTGGTTTCTGTTTCATCCTCACCGCGTTGAGTGCCAGATCTTTTCTCCACAGCGGTGGCTGTGGTACACTGGAGGGCACATGCCCCTCCAGGCCTGTTCAGATGGTTGGGCGGCATGCCCCTCCGTCAGCTGGCGCGCTCGTCGTCCGCCCCTACCCTTATTCTAACCTCTCTACTGGAGGACCTAAGAAACATTATAGGGCAAATGTTCTGATGAGCTCACTGATTCGGGGTCCAAGGGGCTTTGGAGATTCGTTTGTTTTCCGATTTTAATTGAAGCATGGAAGCGCGCACAACTTTTGTGCAAGAGAAATGTAGTTCTTCAACTGGAGCGGGTCGCCTACACGCCTTTTGACACCTTTGCTCAAACAAATACTTGGGGCCCGCAGAAAGGAAAGTGGATGCCTTTTTGCTTGATGATCTTGTAGAAATAAATGAGTGTTTCGGCAATATACGGGTCCCTTGATTTCCATCCAGAGCGGGCTCAAAAGGCCACAGCCTTGGTGCTCCTCTTCTTCTGGGGAAGCGACCAAGATGTGCTCTGTTTCTTGGATCCGACACGCACCGAACAAGGTGGGGCCGTCCAGCTTTGGATACTTAGTGAAGTGTGTGTATCCCGACTCCCCCGCCCCACAAGTACTGTAAGGCATAGTCCCAATAAAGGGACACTTTACACTGTTCCTTTGCGAGGGGAATCATGTATTTTGCTCCCCCTTTTTGTTGTGTGGATTTGTGTGAAATTTAAGATTTAGGATCCAAACTTGAAGCTTCGGAAGGGATGTAATCAGGTATGGGTGTCGGTGCGTGTGTGTGTGTGTGTGTGTGTGTGTGAGTGTGTGAAGATGAACCTCCGCATGTTTTCGATCCCTTTGAAAGAGCAAGCATCACTACCACTACCACCCCCACCGCACACTCCTCCCCGCAAGCAAGCTAAGACCATGTTCGGGCCTGTGCTGGCAGCGCTAGTTTGGCTTAGTTAAGCCCAAGTAGGCTTAATTAGCTGAATTAAGCTTATCCAAGCTTTGTCGAGCCTGCCCAGCCCTGCCAACGGTGACATGGGCTGTTTGGAGGGGGTTTAATGGAGTCACGCCTTACATGTGGAGGAGGGGATTCCAGCAACTGATATCAATTCCGGCCCTTTAGAGCTCGGATTGGCAGTGTTTCAGTATTTTTTTGGGAGGGGGGTCCAACAAATCCGAAAGGGGCCGCTTAGAAGACTGCCCTCGAGTAAGGCCATTTTTAGCTTCATTAAGCATATGCGCAGCTAGACAGAGACCCTTTTTTTGTTTGGGGGGGGTGATTTTGGGTGAAGTCTTCCACTCGCTGAAAACACCTTACCAGCTCGATTTTTAGGGCGTATGATTTAAGAGGGATCCCCTTTATGTTTTTGAGGAACTTTTCTCAGGAAATTTAATTGAATAACACCTAGTTTTCATCCACCAAGTTGATTTAACAGGGCTCGACACCGCCAGGACTGATGCGCCGCATCGCGGATTGCAACGATGGCCTTGCCTTGCTGCCGCAGACGAGGCCGAGATTTGCCTTTGGCCAGCCTTGGGCTATTAATCGGACTGTTTCTGGGGATTATCAAAGTTAGAAACTGGACGTGTTTGTCTTGACCTAGCACTTGGCGGGTGGATTTGAAGGAGGTAAGACATGAACATATGTGTATGTGTCAAACTAAGGGCGCCCAAAAATGACTAGTTTCCTCCTGGATTTAGCTTTGAAACCAGCTCAAACCGGGTACCCCTAACACACAAACACTGCGAACAAACAAACAATCAAACAAACAAACAAACAAACAACACAAACAAACAAAGAGACAGACAAACAGGCAACCAAACAAGCAACCAAAGCAAAAAAGAAAGATACAATAGATACAATAATAAAAACACAAGTACAATAAATAAAGAACAACATACAGAAAGCAATAAATAAGGAAATACATAAATAAACAACATAAATCATGGAATCGGTAACTAAATAAGACAATACCGAACATACAACAACCAAACAATACAGAAATGCATGAATATGCAATATATATATATATACATATATATATAAATACATACATATATCTATATATATATACACATAAAGAAATACATAGCACTTTTAATTTGATAAATAAACAAAGAAAGACAGACATAAAGATCATCCAGAAACAGACACGCACACACACACAAAATATTGGTGCCAGTTTCCTGTTGGACAGAGCCGGACCCCTAGTCCCTCCGAGCCGAGGCCACTTCTGGTGGAGGGCCGAGCCGTGGGCAAAGTGCTCCCCAAGGCGTCGCCAAATGGGTGTGTCGTCTTTTAGGGGACTCCCCCAAAATGGCCTCGGTTTCCCCTTTGGTTTCCCTTGAACCAACCAAAAAGGGGTTCCCTACATTGGATCCAACCGCCTCTTTCACTCACCTCTGGAAGGCCATGAAACTATTCCGCTTGTTTTGGCCAAGTCAAACAGAAGAAGCTTCAAAGGGGGTTGCCAAATTAATTGCGCCAAATGGGGTTCAAAAACTGATACCACTGGCTCAAACCACCAGCCCCCTACCATAGGTCTTGGGCTGAAGGACCTCAAAATGAGCTTTGAGCCCCAAGGATAAAGACCTCAAGGAACCTTCCATATTTGGGCGGAGGAAGTTCGCGGAACGGGCCAAAGGAAACTTCCAATCTCGGCGGGTTTCAGGTTTTGGATCCTGGAAAGCGGATGGTTTGAATGCTGAATGAGGTTGTAGGTCTGTAGGGAAGCCTGGTGAAGAAATGAGGGAATGATCCCTATAAACCATACGACTGGTGGTGTCTTTTAAGGGATCTAGGTTCATTCCCACATTCGCTACCTATCGCACCAGCAAGTTTGAGGCGGCCCAGTGCATGGGGCAATACGACGAGGCCGAGCCGGAGGGAAGGAATTCAGCTTTGAGTCGTGTGTGTGTGTGTGTTTCAAAATTGGTGGACCAGAAGGACCTTTTTGAGGTTCTGAAAGGGGTAGCACTTCCATGCTTGAATGGTAGGGTATGATGTTTTGGGATCGATATTGGATGGACACCAAATGAGCATTTGTCCATTCACAGGGTTCTTGTAGGTTGTGGAATCATGAAAACCTCACAAGTTGGGTTTTTGACCAAATGGCCCTTTGTTTCTTTCTTGAGGTTGGATCCTTTATCGTTGTTGAATATTGTGGTTATTTGTTCAAAGCGCGGCATGATTGGGTTCGGAATTTGGAAGGCATACACTCGAATTGAGCGAGGCTCTGCATGAAGGTAAAAAGGGCGCAGGAAGATCGAGCGAGAGAGACTGGGATGCCGACTGAATGAAGACTGAAATGTAGTCATTGTGTCTTGTTGTTCCCGGTCTTCAATCAAGCAGTGCCAAACAACGGCAACCAAGCGAACATATATAGGTAAGTGTTGGTAGGAGGCTTGCCAGAGAAGCTTAGGGTTTCCTGCTGTCTAGATTCAGACCGCTGGTGACTGTTGGCTGTGGAATCAAATTTGCACGGCATCAGTGTTGAATGCAGACAACCCTTTGAATCCGGCGCTTGGCACGGTTAGGATTGCGTGCTGTTTGCCTTTCACGCTGCGCATGAATTGATAGCGTTCAGAACAGTGCGCAGCGCCGGAGCTGAGGTCCATTGGTATTGTGTGTAAACGCGTGAGTGAGTATGTGGGCGTGTGTGTGTGTGTGTGTGTGTGTGTGTGTGTGTGTGTGTGTGTGTGTGTGTGTGTGTGTGTGTGTGTGTGTGTGTGTGTGTGTGTGTGTGTGTTTGTTTGTATATTTGTGTCTCTATGTCTCTTTGTGTCTGCGTTTTTCCGATGTGCCACAGCTGGTTGAAGTTAACCTCAGCCGAATGCCCAGGTTTTCCGCGTGACGGACGAGGCGGTTGAGCTGATTGCAGGCAAAGCCGGTGGGTTGAGAAAAGGTGAGCACCCGCGATCCATGTTTGGAGGGCACCCTTTTGTGTGGATTTGGAGGGACACCAAAAGGAACACCGAAGCCAGTTTTTGGGGTCCCCAAAAAAGACAAACCTTGGACTTTTATTTGGTGGTTCTACTACCTATATTCAAAGCTTTGTGACCATATTGGAAGAACCAAGAAGGATTTTGGGCGCTGCAGGTGCCCTGTTTGGAAATAGGCAGCGGCGCAAATTGACACCATGTCAAAGCAAGGCCTCTATATCTGACAAGCTTTTGCCACTCTGCCAATACAAGCTATGCTTTGGACGCATTGTGTTCTTCTTGAAAGGTTGGACGCAACACTTCAACAACATGTCGGATAAACAGCATGCTAGCCAGCTGATGGACAAGCTCATAGCCAGAGGATAGCCATTTGAAGAACCGACCGATCACAAGAAACTACACATTTGGGATAGAAGTCAAATGGGTGTCGGGACTCCGTGGTCACACATTAAATGTACATGGAAATGTTTAGACCTGCAATGTCTGGGGGGCTCATCCTTTCAGTTGGATCTCTTTGGACATGTTTTTTTCAGGATCATTTTTTTTCCGGGCCAGAGTCAGCACAGTCGAACATTCTCTTCTCGTGGGATGGTAGGAGGCCTTCTCGCCTCGCCCTTGCGCCTTCTCATGCCGGTGGGAGTTTTTGTATCTTCATTGCTGGATGGAAAGCATCGAAACAGACCCTCTGCGCACTGTGGGCTGATTGAAATGATGTCGCGGTGGCGCGTTTTGAACCTCGTACGCGAGCCCTCCGCGGAGGTGGGGGGGTCAGATCGCTTTCGTCGTGGCGCGGTCGGCGGTGCGCATCTGAAGTCAAAGCGCGCGGGTTCCACGTGGTCCCAGCGCGAGATTTGTGTTGCCCAAAAGTAGTCCAGTGTTCGGGGGGAAGGGTTGCCCCGGTCTTGCCGTGTAAACATCCGATTAACAGAGCCTTTCATACTAATTGAGCCAGCGAAGCCGGTGGGCGGGAGCTTCAATATATAAGAACTATTGTTCTCCTTCACTTTCTTTATCTTTATTCTTGCGGACCTGCGCTCACACTACGAAAGCTCTGCGCTAAGCAAACAAGTAGCAAGCCTCACCCAAACCAGCGCTTGATGTGTATGTAATGTTTGTTACCTTTGACGTCTGGCCCCAACCCAGCCTTCAGACTGGTTTGAGACCTGTTTCAGACCAGCTTTCCAGCCTGTGACAATTTCCCTGGTGAGATTCTCGTCAAAGCGTATTTTAGCCACATATACTTTTGCTGCACCCATTTGCACCTTCGCAAAAGCGCTGCACCGGCCACGAAATCTGCACCTGACCTTGTGAAAGGGCTTGCGTCTGCCACGCAATCGGTACCCGACCTTGTGAAAGCGCTGCGCCCAAGCCACGAAATTTGCACCTGTGCGCCCTGTGCATTATCTTGTGCTCGCCCTTGCGCCGTTTGCGCGCACAAAGTGCTTTGGACTTTGAACTCAACATGTACAAATCGTAACATTCCCTGTCCACTTGGTAGAATAGCCTTTTTTCCGACCCCCACATATATGTGTTGGCTTGGGTGCAAAAGCAGAGGCACTTTGGAAGTGCATGGACAAAGTCCTGACCACTTTGTTCGTGGTGTATCGTGATAATCATAGCATGTTATCCATCCCAACAGGTGCAGGCATTTGCCCATCCTCAGCAATACAAGCCATAGCACCGACTTCCTATGGTTCGCTCGCACCGTTCCACACAGGCGACACGCTGGAGTCGCGATCGCAGGCGGATTCGGGGCGACCTCACATGGGTTTTGGTGTGCGACCGATTTGGGGTTCCGTGATGAGTTTGGTTCTGATCTTGGGGATCCATTTCTTAGTTGGGACCTCGTGAATTTGGTTCTGGTCTTGGGGATCCACGTCTTAGTTCAGGTTGGGACTTGTTGCGTGCCTCATGAAGAGCCAAAGAGCGCTCAAAAAGGGGTCTGAAAAGGAAGCTGGAGACGTGCTTCATACTGGCTACGTGTCATCACCACACCACACGGGTTGGCGTTTGGCTCCCGCAGAAAGGGCCCTCTGTGCAATTGGCTCGCACAGATCACGTCGTTCCCATGGAGGTGACAAACATTTGATTGGGCGGAGTACCTAGGCCCTCCGATTCGATGCACCCCTCTCTGATTTGGCGTGCCACCCAGCCTTTCCACCTGTATCCTTGGTGATTGGTGATGCGCAGAATATATGATACGCCGCATTGCGCAAGCACGTCTTACATTGGAGCTTCCGGTAATCCACGGGCACTCTATCCTCGTTCTTTTCATCAGCTCCCCGATTTGCTGTGCGAGCATCGGGTCAGTTCCCGGACCACTGCCGCATCAACTGGCACTCCTGCTGACGTAACACACGTGTGGGCATTCTGGGCAGTCCTGGAGGACAATTTCCAGCTGGGCTGCCACGATGTGCCACAGAAGACTGAGAATGCCCTGCCTGACTGTCGCGTTGGTGAACCAAAACCAATCCATGACGAAACCAATCCAATCCCCCGAAAACCTCTTCAGTGAAGCCAGCAAAAGTGAAAAAAACGCTGCTACAGCTGTACAACAGTGATTTGAACCAGATCTGACTCACCGGCTACTGAGCTGCGCAAGGCCTCACTTCCACATCCACAAACGTCACTTCCAGCTTTGCTGGGGCCTGAGCAAACGCCATGGCTTTGTGCGGCACGTCCTCGGATGACTCGACCTCGATGTGGTTCGGCGCCAACGTGGAGAGCACTATTTTTGAATCGCTTGGAGGATCTTTTGCCTGGTGCTGCGGGAGCTTTAGAAGCTTCTTGCTGTTGGCATCGTGCTCGGGTAGCTTCTCCGTGTTCTCGAGGGCGTTGCTGGATCTGGTGCTGCTGATTCTGCTGCATCAACAGTTCCTGAAACCTCGGACTCCTGCTCTTACCTGGATCTGGCTCTGCAGCTTCTCCATTGCTGTGTTCTGCTTGGACTGCATGATGAAGCCTATCCACTGGACTTGCAGATGCTCTCTCTGGGCCTTCGCTGAATCCAACTGTCTTCTCCACAATGGCCGTTGGGTTCAAAGGAAGTCCCTGACTTGATGATCAGCTCCTGTATGCGTCGGGCCTCCAGCATCGCCTTGGCATCCTTGCTGCTGCTGCTGCTGGAAGGGCGCCTGCAGCATCCGCCGGCTCCAAAGATGCCGGTGTGGGCAGGTGGCGCAGGCTTCATAGACAGCTAGCGCCAAGGACTCTGCATTTGCCCACCCTTGGCCGCTCCATGCGTAGGCAGCCAGGAGAGCTCCCGTGACGCGGAATAACTTGGTGCCTCGTCAGCCCCTAGCGCTGCTTTTATCCGTGGGCCTTTCTTGCCTTCTTGGAGGTGGGTCGTTTGGTCTGCCCCTCCGCCGTCTCCCAGTATTGACCACTCTGCCCAATGGCCAATGGCCAAAGGCACTCGCGAAGCGTGGTGTTCCCGACATCTTTGAGGAAGATGGCGTAGTCCATCAAGAGGCTTTCCCGCCACACAGCTCTGCTGTCACCTGCAGTCACTTGTGGGAGTAGAAGGCGATCGGCCCACCAAAGTGACTGTAATGACCTCAAACGCCGATGGCGCCTATGCCAACCAGGTTCCTTCCTGCAGGACCCGGGCCAGCTCAATGCCTTGGGTCGCTCCTTGGGAGTGTCAAAGCCCCTTTTTGGCGGACCCCGTCTTTGGGTATGAGATAAACGGCCGGGTAGTCCTTCCCGATTTCCTAAGCGGCCCTTTTGGCGAACCCTTTTCATGGTTGTTGTTGAGAAGCATTTTGCATTTTTGCTTATTGTGGTTTAGTGGGAAAGCCCCACTTAACTGCTATTTTTTTTTTTAATTTGTTGCTCCCCTTCCAGCGTCAACCAAGTGTTGGAAGCCCCGTTTTAACGGTGCTGAGCATTTCCCATGTCCGACCAGGCGGTGCATGATGTAGTGAAGCGGCTACGTGATGAGGACTGACTCGTGACGCGGTGTGAGCCGAATGCGAGCTCCAAAGGAATGCTATCTTCCCTGCAACAAGCCTAGCGTCTGTGGGAGGGAACCTGGAAGATGTTTTTTTTACTTTTGGGGGAGCCCTGACTCAGTTGCCATGTTAGCGGGAGGGAGGGCAAAGGAATAGTTACAAGTTACATGCACTCGCCTTTCTGACTTTTGCCTGGGTTTGCTCGGACTCAGAGTGTTTGGGAAGGGAAGGCAGCTTGAAGCCAACCATTGAGCGTTCCATTGAGTTTGGACACAACCAGATGTTCCAAACGATCCACGCGTCGTGACATTTGTTCTGCTTGTTTGAGGGTATCCTGGGCTTGCTTCACAGGGAAACGAAAGGGACCGCCCATTTTGTCCGCAGGACAGAGTGCCGATGCTCCGTGGCTGGAGGGATGAGGCTCGCTTGAGAAATCACCGGGGACTGCTCGGGGGTACTTCTTGTACTTGTGATGTTTCTGGAGTGAGACGATATTGGAATTTGGCTTGAGGTGCTTTTGGTCCTTCCTCATGTTGGACTGTTCCATGGTAGGGCTACTTGTAAGTGGGTGTAAAAAACTTGAAAGGGAGTGCCCCCATGTCGATCCATTGGATATCTTGCCCAGTTCAATGGATTCCTCCCTCTAAACCCCGGTTTTGTTTGGTGCGTTTCTTTCTAGTGGGCAACGCCAACATGGGTTCCAGTCCTTTTTTGGATTTTAATTGGACAACCCGGGTATGCGCAACATCCGCTAGTTTCTTCTACTTGCTAGCCTTCCACATTTAAAGCCCAAGAACTTTGTTTTTCTCCTGTGAATCCTGGTGTTTGTGTATTGATGCTTTCTTGAGGCGGGAACAATCGGAATGGTGGTAGGCAGGAATTCGCCATACGCCTCTTTTTGACGCTGCGCTTTTGGGGCGTGTTTTGAAATAAATTTGAAGACACACCCATTGTCCTGTGTGTGTGTGTTTTTCCCCACCGCACCGCAGGACTGGCCGGTGAAGCCGTCCTTCCACGACGAGCCGGTCCTTGTCATTGACGCTGCGGCAAGTTTGTGATCCGCCCCCCTGTTTGTTGCTCAGCAGCAACCCTAGGAGCCCCTTGGACCCTGAAGATGAAGGCCATGACCCCGAAAGGCCTCAAAGGCCTTTGGAACCTGGCGTTGAGCAACTGAACATCTGTGGGGAAAAGGCGTATTCAACAGCAGTTTTGTTTTGTTGCTGGCCTGTACTGTTTTGGTCATCTGCAAAGTGTGCTGGTGAGATAGGTAGGGAATGTGGGAATGAACCCAGAAATTCCCCTCAACGGCAACCACCGAGGGATGGTTTGCAGGGATGGTCAGTGCGCGAACCGCTTGAGAGGCTCTTCTCTAGTGATGTGACAAGAGAGAATCTAACGGGATGCCAAGCGGCGAAAATGACAACGAGTTATGTACAGGGCTCGATAGTTGAAAGCCTGAATTCTTTGGCTTGTTGCTCATGCTGAGTGCAAGGAATCATAGTGGTAACCTTAAGTACGCCGCGATAGAGGTATTAAGGTTGGTCATAATTACTGAAAGGACTAGCACTAGTCCCTGTCAGTTGTGTTGCCTGCCGAGAAAGACATGAAGTATATTTGCTAGTTTGCGTTTGGGCTTGGCATGTTGACATGCGTGTTGTGCCCATGCACTACTCAGACGTAAATGAACTGCTCATGTTGTTGGTGAATGAGCAAGTTGTGACTGTTATACATCTACATGAGTTTTCTCCGTGGCTCTTGTGACGCAAAGGTTTCCCTATATGTTGGCCTACGTTGATCACGAACAATGAAGCAGAAGGCACTTTTGGGCAAACAGATTGCCATTGAAAGAAAACGTTGACGCAATGGATAGTTTCTCCAATACTTTTTTTGTGCTTGTGCGTTTGGATCCAAAAAGGATTCTAATGAAGAGAAGGCCTTTCCCCCAAAAAGCAGAACGTGCCTGGTAGTCATAGCAAAGTTGGCTTAATCCTTAGGCCAGCCAAATCTTTGACGAAGTTGGTCTCCTGCCAATGGTTTCTGCAGGTGCGACGCACACAGTGCTTCTCAGGAGCAATGGTAGTGCAGTTGCTTTCGGAGCGAACGGAGCAGGTCAATGCGATATTCCAACCTTGTCCGAAGAGGATACGGTGTCGTACACCCAGGTTTCTGCAGGTAACTGTAACACCCTGCTTCTCCAAAGCAACGGTAAGGTGGTGACTTGCGGAAGCAATGCCGCTGCACAAGACAACATTCCACGTCTGAACAAAGGCGGAGTCAGGTACAATCAGATTTCTGCAGGGAAAAGCCACACACTGCTTCTCAAAAGCGACGGTAGGGTGGTGACTTGCGGAAGTAATGATGCAGGGCAACGCAATATTCCACGTCTCAAAGAAGGAGTGATGTACACGCAGGCTTCTGCAGGTGGAAGTCACACGGTACTTTTGCGTAGCGATGGTACGGTGGCGACTTGCGGAGGGAATGATGATGGGCAATGCGACATTCCACTTCCACCTCTGAATGACAGAATTTCCTACACCCAAGTTTCTGCAGGAAATCGACATACAGTACTTCTCCGAAGTGATGGAAACGTTGTGGCACATGGATGTGATAATAATTGGCAATGCCGTATTCCACCTTTGGAGAAAGGAATCAAGTACACCCAGGTTTCCGCAGGACATAGCCACACAGTACTTCTGCGAAGTGATGGTGCTGCAGTGGCTTTTGGAAGAAATTATCATGGACAATGCAACATCCCACCTTTGGATACCGGAATGACATACATCCAAGTTTCTGCGGGTATGACTCATACAGTACTTCTCCGCAGTGATGGGGCTGCCGTGGCTTTTGGAACCAATAGTCGTGGACAATGCCGAGTTCCCACCTCCGAACCGGGGACTTGGTATGTTGCAGATAGATCACGTGTGCCCGACCAATTGTTGCTCGCCTGCCGTGATCCCCTCGCAGATGTCAGCGAGACTTGCAAGCGCCGGCGTCTCACATAGCTTCGCGGGAAGTTTGAGATGTCGAAATTTCGATCGGTGCAAAACTTTTGACGAGTTCACCAAGTTGCTGTGGACAAGTACTATGGATCGTGCTGCGGACAATTACTGTGGATATTGCTTGGTGCCAAGCTGACTGTCTTCAACGTCGCAAACAAAGTCCAGGTGCTTGCTAAATGCGCCGGTGCGAACCCCGCAATCCACGGAAGAAACAAGTCCCAGCTTGACCATGTGCGATCTCTGCAATTGTATCTGGTGGCAATAGAACCGGGCTCATTATGTCGACAGTTTTTTTGTGGTTTCCCTTTAACCTGCCACTGGGGCCGGTAACTTCCATTTGCTTAAGAGCATGTCTTATTTTCCCCTGTTGGTTATAAAAAGGGAATCTATCACTGAACATATTTTTTATTTGTTTGAGGGGGCCTAAGCAAAGGGGAGGTAGAAAAGACCGAATCCTGCCATCATGCCTCCCTAGCCTCCAGCTGAGGAGCGTTCCGCGGGGCCGCTGCTCGGCGTGCAGGGCTTCGGGCCCGGGGCCCAGAATGTGCAGATGGGTCCGCAGCCACGTCCTCAAAACCGATTCGGGTAGGTGAAGCTTAGGTGACATTCCCGACAAAACGAAGGGGTGCAGCCGCCTTTTTGATTCTGTACATGCTTGGGTGAACCATGAATGGGTGCAGCCGCCGCTTTAATTTGTTTGTATGGTTCTTTCCTAGACCATTTTAACTCACTTGTCGATTAAATGTGTGTGTTTTCCTGGGTGAGCGCCCAGTACAGGAGTGATCCCAAGTGGAGCAGCTGTGAGAGAGAGCTCTCGGACGCTGTTGCGACTGTTGAGGTAAGTGGAAGTTTACAGATTGGTCACGCAAGGGACGGTGAAAGCACATAGGTGTCCTTTTTGGTGGTTTTGCTAGAAAAATAGATGGCGATTCCTGGTTTACCTGGGGCCATCTATTTTCCTTGAAAGGACACCTATGTGAGAGCACTGATATTTGCTTTCGCTGCCCTGTACAGCCTTGCACAAACATGGCTCATGGCCATGTTGACGAGTGGAGTGACTTTGCCGTTCTAGCCTTTCCGGACCAAGGTCAATGTTGCCAATTCGCCTAAAATAATCTAAGCCCTGGGGAAACTGCAAAGGGACCCCGGCTTTTTGCAACTTTGGGTATGGGACAAGATTCGTCACCAGACCGCAGGTTTTTGTCCACGCGTTCCATCTTTGACCCAGAGCCAATTATTATTCCACTCAACGCATGCGGTGCCTGCGAAAACAATGGGGTCCCTCCAAAAGCTATGGTTCTGACAAGGGGCTGTCCTCCTTCTGCTTGACAGCGGCGGTTGATCATGGCACAAATAAAGTTGCAACTTGCTGATGCGAGGACATCTACCTTTGAAAACTATTTCGCCTAAACCAGGTCTGTACATTAGGGACGCTTTCTGGAGCAAAAGAGCAACACCAGGTGGCTAAGGTAGCCCAGTTTGGCTCCTCTTTCCACCATGACTTTCCAAACATGCCTGTTAGCGGATGTTTTTCTTCAAGGTGCCATATTAATGGCATCGTGGAGGGTGAGGACAATGTGCCCATGCTTTGGGAAGCCTGGCAGAATTATTCATTGCAGGCGTTGTTTGCGTCAAGTCATAACTAATGCGCCGAAGTTCTTGTAGGTTGAATTTGCAGCCCACTACACCCCCCCTGCACAAAAACACAGACCCCAAACAGCCTTGAGAAGTAAAGGAGTAAGTTGGGAATATGTGTATAGCCATCATTATGAAGGAAATGACGTAACAAAGTCCCAAGTGAAGCAAGGAACGCAAAGAAAGGTTAGGAGGCAAGCCATGCCCTCAGATTCGCAGCGACAGTTTGGGGTTTGAGTGGTGAAGCTTCAGCCTCTGAGTTGAAGCATGTGGCCGCAACAGGTCTGGGTGCCTTCCAAGAAATTCACGTTTGCACAGGTATTTGCAACAAAACCCAAGGGATTTAGTTAAATTTGCAGGCCCTCGTTTTTGCATTTGGAGATGCGCCGGATGGCCTAGAATTGATCCAGAATGGCATGACTCGTGGCTGGGCAGGTCTGCTAAGTCACATGTGAGGTGTGAACTGAAAGCCCCGTTTGCCGTTGCTTCGCGCACCCCATGGTTCGTTGGTGGCGTAGGCCGCCATGGATGACAGCCGTCATGAGTTCTTGAAATCAATCCCCGCAAAGCGGCCTAAAAGTGTAGAACTCTTTGGGCATGACCCAACAAAACTTGGTCTAGGATCCCACAAAAGTGTACAACCGTCATGTTCCTCCCAAGAAAATGGTCCAGAGGAGCATGTCTTCTGACATCGCCAGTGCCATCAGGTGGCGAAGCGCGCTGAAACCAAACCTACCTACCCGGGCCTGCTAGACAACATTGTGGCAGGAGACTGGTTGAGGCTTTTGCCTGCAGGATAACCATCAATCCGGTGTGGACACCGCGCTCTCCAGCAAAAACGCCCTTTGCCGTCACTGTTTCGTGGAACTCAATGTCTTTCCTTTATATCGGAGTGTTGAGATCGATGCTGAGTTGTTGCAATAGGGCCAGCCATGAGTCTGAACCGCAAAGTCGACTTGTTTCATGCCCAACGCCACGCACCGCCCTCCGTGCAGCATTTGACAAGGCTGAAGGTTGATAAGGGCAAGTGTTTCAATCCATACGCGCTTGTTTGTGGTCTCACATGTATTGTTGAACGCCTGCATAGCGCATGTTGTGTTTCTGTCGTGTGTCCGAACTGGCCGGTCAATCTGCAAAGCCAGATTTGAGTTCGACGGGTTTTCTGTGCAGAGGTCAACGGCCAACACCCCGCATTTCATGGGTCCAAGGTCCATTATGATAGGGATGGTCATGATCTTCTATCCCCGCCCACAAACAGTGGATGAAGATACCTGGGCACTTCATGGCTTCGCCACCACCAGCTGCGCTGATTGGCTGTCCAACCTCCCACCCACCCCTCACCCCACCGCTCCCCACCCATCCCCACACCACCCTCCCCACCCCACCCCACCCCACCCCACCCCACCCCACCCCACCCCACCCCACCCCACCCCACCCCACCCCACCCCACCCCACCCCACCCCACCCCACCCCACCCCACCCCACCCCACCCCACCCCACCCCACCCCACCCCACCCCACCCCACCCCACCCCACCCCACCCCACCCCACCCCACCCCACCCCACCCCACCCCACCCCACCCCACCCCACCCCACCCCACCCCCACCCCACCCCACCCCACCCCACCCCACCCCACCCCACCCCACCCCACCCCACCCCACCCCACCCCACCCCACCCCACCCCACCCCACCACTCACCACCCACCCAGCCACCCTGGGGCGCGTCAAACGCCAATGAGGCCAGGCTTGTTTGCCCGGCATTCCCCAAAGCACACTGCAAAATCCAGTTTTTGCGACATTCTCTGCATAATGGTGACTGCGCTGCTTTCGCATGAGCCCAGCGCGCTTGCTTGTGAGCATCCCCGCTTTGTCCGCTTTCCGCCGAAGTCTACTTCCAGAGGGCCATTTTTCGAAGGTTGACACGATGCCATGCTGGGGATACTGAAAAGCTCGTCTGGTGATGCAGGGATGCTGGTCAGGTTGGCGAGGATGTATGGAATGTTGGCGGGGATGCTGGCCTCGACTTTGACTTTATTTACAGTGTTTTCAAGGTCGGGCAAAGTGGCATCAGGAGCCCGTTACAAGGCTGGGGCCAGATGGGATGATGCAGGGGACGCTGGGGGGCCAACAAAACACCTCAGCCGCATACTCTGCGGGTAGGGTTGCCTCACTCTTCGACACACAGCGCAGCTGCTTCCGCTTACCCCACTGGGAGGCATTGCCTGTATACATGGCACGCAGGTCGGCATTTTTGAGTCAAACTATCCTCCTCACATGGTCTTCCTAAAAGCAGGAGTGGATTATTTGTACCCTGTATCTCTGGTAGTTTGCGGCTTGACGCAGTCAGGATTGTCAGGAGGTCTTTCTCATAGATGATTTGCAGGAGGACTTTCTGATGGAGAACTGCCTCGAGAGAATGTGTCAGCGCCTCAGTTTCGCATGGCGTTCTCCCAACCTCGGTTGTCCAAACGACCTTTTGAGCCTTCAGCGTGCCAGTTGATCCAGGCTGACTCAGAGTCCCCAAAGATACACAATTTATGGGTTTCGTGCTGCTGGTGCGTATTTGGGAGCTTGCTTGGATGACGGGGATGGACGATCGGACTGTTTGCAGCTGGCAAATGGATGGAAGGGGTTTGAATAACCCCAAAGATAATCATCCAGGAAGAAAGCTCGCCTATGATGGAACTGGCTGGATGGGCCATTTGCTTTGTAACCACAAGGATCACCTAGTTGTGCCAAGGCATAGACCTATCCGGCCAGCCAATAAAGCCTGCAAGCCGCATGGGAATGACATTGTTCAAATTAGCAAAAACGGTGCCTCAACGCACCAACCATCCATGTTGGGAACTCACTAAATATTGACTGCCTTATGGCTTACATGTCACTTGGAGCAGTCATTTGTGGTTCCTATTTGGATCCCTGAGCCCCGTAGGAAATTCAACAGGAAGTGGCTCAAACGATCTTGGTTTCAACATGAAGGGGTTGGTGGGCCACCCATTTCAGCTTTGGAATTGAAAAGGGCCGTCATGTTCGGGGAAATTAGAAGCGGTACCCCCATTTTTCGGGGTGAGAAAGGTGTTTACTCCATTTTGACACAGGTGTATCTCAAAAAAAAACAACTCCCCAAACAGAAAATGGCGGCTCAGGATCCGCGAATGCTGGGAGGAGGCGGGCGTGCCAAAGGCGCTGGCGGCTGAAGCGCGGCCGGCCAGCGTAGTGTCCTACTCCCAGGTGGATGAGACAGGACCGGACAGATGCCAGGGGTCGGAATTGGTTTCAAGTCGTATTCTGGAATTTTGGAGGACTATGTGCTTTCGTGTTAGGAATCGTTTTTTTTGGTAATTTAGAAAAGGTTGGAAGGACGTGACCTTTTTGACCCCGTTTTTGCGTGTTGTTGTTTGTCGTTGTTCTTCTGTTTCCCTTTCTGAAAAAATCGGTCCGTTTTTCGCAAGGGGGTTGGTTGGGCTTGAGGGACGGAGGAAAATGACACCTGGATTTGTTGTTTTGGTTTCTGGGGTTGGTAGGCTAGTTGTTTGGTTTGGGTGAGTCGCTTAGTTACTGGTTTTTTTGTGAGCCATGTTGGTTAACTTGGCTGAAACAATCATTCCGCCAATTTTCTACCCACCGCAACATCCCCCGTTTCAGTCCAACTATTTTTTTCAGACGCCAAGGGTAGTTTCCTCCCCCCCCCCCCCCGACCCCCGCCCTCCCCGATCCCTTTGGGCCGGCGAGGCTGGGGGGTGAAGCGGGACGTGCTCCTCTGCTACGACTTGGCGCTGCCGAAAAACTTCACGCCCTTCAGCAACGACGAGGAGGTGGACTCCTTTCAGCTCTGGAGCCGCCCGGATCTGCGCGGATCGCGAAGGGCGCCTTTGGTTTTCTTGGAGTTAGTTGGTACCCTCTGTCCTACAAACATGGCACCTCACAGGGGTCTCTCCAAGAGTAAAATGATCTACCAGGTGCCTCCCCACAGGTGCCATGTTAGTGGGAGTAAGGGTACTGTACCCTTTTTCCGTCTGGAAAGGGAAACTCACAAGGAATACCACCAAATTTAGGGGGCAAACCTCCATTTCCATATCACTCTGCCTCTTTTATGGGGAGCGGTTCAACCGATTCGGGGCTGTTTTGTTGTAGGTCCTTTCACGCGGGATCCGATTCTCTGATCAGGTGTTGGATTTGCGTTCGGCATGCAGATCTGGTTACTTGTTCTCAGGGAATGACTCGGAATGACCCCTTCCAACCACAAATGTTGGTTGTTGAGAATTGTTGGGGTGATTCCCATATTTTCTGGGCCTGCGGCCTCTAGCCGGCTACGCCTCTTTGAAGTTATACCATCCTGGAGCACCCTTCGTTACCTAAATTTCTGCCCTTAGCCCAAACGTATTGCAAAACCAGGGGTCGTCACCAAAATATGGTAAACGTACACTTTTTCCTGCTTCGAGTGTTTTTCCCAAAACCGGGCTGGTCGGTCCTCCAAGATGATCTTTGGTTGAATTTTCGAAAGGAGCGAGCAGAAATCGAAGTGCAAAACGAGCGCAAATATCCGCAAAACGAGCGCAAATATCCGCAAACGAGTGCAAACTAAAAAACCGTAACAATGCCCGCCTTCCTCTGGATGGAAGAACGGGATTTGGTCGAGCGTTTTTCGGGGGGCGAGCGTTTTTTGGGGGGTCGAGCAGAAATCGGTAATTCGAGCGTTTTTTCTCGTACCTAAAAAAAAGGCACGTTGGGTGCCTCAGGATGTGAGCAACCGTCAAAACTCGCGTTATCTAGAATATGTATTCGGCGGACATCCGCTTTCCAAAAGTGAAGAAAGCTGGGGGAAGCGATGGGGGCGTCCCAAAAGCGATGCCCTGCTCTTGTATGTATCAAGTTTCAGAGAGGGGATATTGCTTGCGCTACTTGAGCGCGGAGGTTCAGGGGAAAACCAAGCAGAAACCATCCATATTGCAAGTCCCTCACAAAACGACAAACCCATATCAACACTTGACAGCTGTTGGTTGCTAGATTGGATGTGCCAGGTGGCGCATGGCTGTGCTTGAAGCCAGACCACCATATACAAGTAAGGTCCGGCAGAGCCGGGGGGCGGAAGTTTCAAAGCAGTGAACAACTATAGTTTGGAGAACTGTCCTTGGCCCCTTGCTTCTCTCTCTCTCTGTCTCTCTTTCTCTCTTTCTCTCTTTCTCTTTCTCTTTCTCTTTCTGTTTCTCTGTCTCTTTCTCTCTCTTTCTATCTATCTCTCTAGCTATCTCTATATCTGTTTATTGATCTATCTATCTACCCATCTTTCTCTGCACTTAAAAGTTGCGATGTTCAATCCCCGAAAGTTGACTTCGCGTACTACTTTCGTACTTAAAAGTTGCGATTTTCGAGCCCCAGCTGCGAAACTGGACTTCACGTACTACTTTCGTAGTTAAAAGTTGCGATTTTCGAGCCCCAGCTACGAAAGTGGACTTCGCGTACTACTTTCGTACTAAAAAGTCGCGATTTTCGAGCCCCAGCTGCGAAAGTGGACTTTGCGTACTACTTTCGTACTTAAAAGTTGCGATTTTCAAGCCCCGGCTGCGAAAGTGGACTTTGCGCACTACTTTCGTACTTAAAAGTTGCGATTTTCAAGCCCCGCTGCGAAAGTTGACTTCGCGTACTACTTTCGTACTTAAAAGTTGCGATTTTCAAGCCCCAGCTGCGAAAGTTGACTTCGCGTACTACTTTCGTACTTAAAAGTTGCGATTTTCGAGCCCCGGCTGCGAAAGTTGACCTTGCAAAAATGCTGCGCCTGCCACCAAATCTGTGCTTGACCTTGCTAAAGTGCTGCGCCTGCCACAAAATCTGTACTTGACCTTGCGAAAGTGCTGCGCGTGCCACGAATTTTGCACTTGACCTTGCGAAAGTGCTGCACCTGCCACAAATTCTGTACTTGACCTTGCGAAAGTGATGCGCCTGCCACGAATTTTGTACTTGACCTTGCGAAAGTGCTGCGCCTGCCACGAATTTGGCACTTGACCTTGCGAAAGTGCTGCGCCTGCCACGAAATCGATACTTGACCTTGCGAAAGTGCTGCGCCTGCCACGAAATCTATACTTGACCTTGCGAAAGTGCTGCGCCTGCCACGCAATCTATTTCTCTAGCTATCTCTATATCTGTTTATTGATCTATCTATCAGTCCATCTTTCTCTGCACTTAAAAGTTGCGATGTTCAATCCCCGAAAGTTGACTTCGCGTACTACTTTCGTACTTAAAAGTTACGATTTTCAAGCCCCGGCTGCGAAAGTGGACTTTGCGCACTACTTTCGTACTTAAAAGTTGCGATTTTCAAGCCCCAGCTGCGAAAGTTGACTTCGCGTACTACTTTCGTACTTAAAAGTTGCGATTTTCGAGCCCCGGCTGCGAAAGTTGACCTTGCAAAAATGCTGCGCCTGCCACCAAATGTGTGCTTGACCTTGCTAAAGTGCTGCGCCTGCCACAAAATCTGTACTTGACCTTGCGAAAGTGCTGCGCGTGCCACGAATTTTGCACTTGACCTTGCGAAAGTGCTGCACCTGCCACAAATTCTGTACTTGACCTTGCGAAAGTGATGCGCCTGCCACGAATTTTGTACTTGACCTTGCGAAAGTGCTGCGCCTGCCACGAATTTGGCACTTGACCTTGCGAAAGTGCTGCGCCTGCCACGAAATCGATACTTGACCTTGCGAAAGTGCTGCGCCTGCCACGAAATCTATACTTGACCTTGCGAAAGTGCTGCGCCTGCCACGCAATTCAAACCTTGCGAAACCTTCGCGCGGCCGTGCCAATGGTCCCGTCTCCGAGACCGTTCCGAACCCGTTCCGCACCCGCCTCCGTACAGGCGTCGCAGCCGAGGTGGTTTGCGCACTGTCCGGAAGCCCAATTCACGCACAGCGCCAACGTTTTCTGCATCTTGCCATCCCCCAGCTCGCAGAGAGTGGACGCAGCACCTTGCGAAAGTGCTGCGCCTGCCACGAAATCTATACTTGACCTTGCGAAAGTGCTGCGCCTGCCACGAAATCTATACTTGACCTTGCGAAAGTGCTGCGCCTGCCACGCAATTCAAACCTTGCGAAACCTTCGCGCGGCCGTGCCAATGGTCCCGTCTCCGAGACCGTTCCGCACCCGCCTCCGTACAGGCGTCGCAGCCGAGGTGGTTTGCGCACTGTCCGGAAGCCCAATTCACGCACAGCGCCAACGTTTTCTGCATCTTGCCATCCCCCAGCTCGCAGAGAGTGCTTGCGAAAGTGCTGCGCCTGCCACGAAATCGATACTTGACCTTGCGAAAGTGCTGCGCCTGCCACGAAATCTATACTTGACCTTGCGAAAGTGCTGCGCCTGCCACGCAATTCAAACCTTGCGAAACCTTCGCGCGGCCGTGCCAATGGGCCCGTCTCCGAGACCGTTCCGCACCCGTTCCGCACCCGCCTCCGTACAGGCGTCGCAGCCGAGGTGGTTTGCGCACTGTCCGGAAGCCCAATTCACGCACAGCGCCAACGTTTTCTGCATCTTGCCATCCCCCAGCTCGCAGAGAGTGCTTGCGAAAGTGCTGCGCCTGCCACGAAATCTATACTTGACCTTGCGAAAGTGCTGCGCCTGCCACGAAATCTATACTTGACCTTGCGAAAGTGCTGCGCCTGCCACGCAATTCAAACCTTGCGAAACCTTCGCGCGGCCGTGCCAATGGGCCCGTCTCCGAGACCGTTCCGAACCCGTTCCGCACCCGCCTCCGTACAGGCGTCGCAGCCGAGGTGGTTTGCGCACTGTCCGGAAGCCCAATTCACGCACAGCGCCAACGTTTTCTGCATCTTGCCATCCCCCAGCTCGCAGAGAGTGCTTGCGAAAGTGCTGCGCCTGCCACGAAATCTATACTTGACCTTGCGAAAGTGCTGCGCCTGCCACGAAATCTACACTTGACCTTGCGAAAGTGCTGCGCCTGCCACGCAATTCAAACCTTGCGAAACCTTCGCGCGGCCGTGCCAATGGTCCCGTCTCCGAGACCGTTCCGAACCCGTTCCGCACCCGCCTCCGTACAGGCGTCGCAGCCGAGGTGGTTTGCGCACTGTCCGGAAGCCCAATTCACGCACAGCGCCAACGTTTTCTGCATCTTGCCATCCCCCAGCTCGCAGAGAGTGCTTGCGAAAGTGCTGCGCCTGCCACGAAATCGATACTTGAGAAAGCTATCTATGTGTTAAGCTGGCTATATGTCAAAGCTATCTATCTGTCATGCTAGCCTATTGGAAAGCTATCTATCTGTCAAGCTAGCTATATGTCAAAGCTATCTATTTGTCATGCTAGCTACCTGTCATAGCTATATGTCAAAGCAGCTAGCTCACTTAGTTCCAGTACTACGGAAGTTTCTTGTTAAACTTCCTTTGAACATGTAAAAAGAAGACGCGCCGAAGCGATGCCCAAAGCGATGCCCAAACGATGCCCGAAGCGATGCCCAAAGGTCTTCAAGTTGCCCAGTAGTTGCCCATTTGGCTGAACAACACTTGCCTTTGTTGGAAAGCCCTTGGTTTTGGCTTACCATCCTGCAGCAGAACCTGCGCAACTCTGAGTCTCGGCCTGCAGCAGCTCCGTGCAACAGCGCCCTTCAGCAGCATACTCAACAACACCCTGCAGCAGCACTCTGCAACAGCGCCCTGCAGCGATGCGCAAGCTGATCGTGTATGAAGAAGACATCCAGAGGGGACCAATTAAGTTTAGTAGCGCAGGTTGGCTTGGAATCCAAGAAGCAGATTGTTATGTTTGGAATCCTCTCGACTTGGATAAGTTGGTCAATGTGTGCATTGTAACACTAGACATGCCCGTAGTTCAACATACAATATGTAAGAGCGATGCCCTGAAAAACGAGAACGCAAAAACATGCGGGAAGCGACGGGATACAAGGAGTTTAGACAGCCGCACATGTCATGTCATGATTTTTGTATGAGAAACGTATCCGTTAGGTTATCCATGTTGCCCACCCCAACCCCAGACGAGCCGGGGATGCCAGCTTTCTGCCAGGCCCCAACCCAGAAGGCTGACATGGGGTCGCGCGCGCGCGCCAGAGGCCCTAGAAAGAGCAGCCCAAAAAGAACAGCCCGCAAGCCAGCCCTGAAACGCAAATGCAACAAAACACTGTAAATAGCAGCGTTTTGTGGCTGGGGTCGCTGGCGCGCTCCAGAAGGCTCGGAAACCAACGGGAAAAAAGCAAGGACCGCGCAGCACGCGAGCCAGCCACAGCAAAAGCAAAACGGACAGAACACCAGCCCAACGCTCAGCGCAGCAGTTATTGACGATATTTACAGCGTTATGTAGAGCGAGGTCCCAGCATCGCCGGCATGCCCGGCAGCGCTTGGTGCCAACATGCGCGAAAATGAGCCTCGCTTATTTTTCCGAGACCTTCTAAAAAACAGTGCTCCGAAGGAAGTCTTGATGATGCAGACCAAGCCCCGCTGAAGCATCACCCAGCCCAACCCCAGACCCTGATGATGTCAGCCACGTGACCTAAACCCTGCACACACGCGATGTTTTGCGAGGGTTTCCCACAGGCAAGGAAAACCGCAAGCCCAAGCTGGAGACGCAGAGGTGCCGGATTTAGGCAACGCATCACGGCTGAGTGATGAGGGTCGGCGGCGCACGGGTGCAGCCTATAGAGCTGAAGCTAGCAAGCAAATTGCCTAGCGGCGACATGCTACCCCAGGAGGCGTAGCCGGACCTAAGGGCTGCCACCCTGTGCCGCCAACAATTATGACTACGCGTTTTTTGTCGGGTTTAACAGCATACTTAAAGCATATATGAAGAAGAAGAGCACCGCGACAATGATCATGGTTGATGATGCAATTTTTATCTGATATTTATTACTACGCATTCGCATTATCGCCAGCAGTCATGATGAAAACTGTTACTCTGCATTTTTTGAATCACCAACAGTTGTTATGAGAATTATGACGACGCACTCCCTGCATCTCAAACAAGCTACTGCATGATAATGAGCACCTTGTTGGATTTTACAAGAAGTGCCCCCGGTGTGTGGAAACTTGGGCAGGAAACCATGTTGGGGGCACTTTTTTTGACTTTCATCATCGTGATCCGACTGGACATATGATTGTCATCATAAGTGCTAGTGATGCTGGGGGTGCATAGTTCATCATCCTCAGCACCGCCATCATGATCATCTGGGGTGCTTCTCGCCAACATGACCCTGGTGATAATCATCACTACGCATCCCCATCACCAGCAGTTCTTATGACATCCTTCGCTCTTTGCATCCCATGCAAGCCGCGTCATGATGATGATGATGATGATGATCCTGATGGCAATCATGACAATCATCACTACGCATCCTCTGCATTTCTAGTCGGGTCTAGTGGCACACTTGAAGCGCATATGAAAAAGAAGAGCGCCGCGATAATGATGATGATCCTGATGATGCAAACCATCACCCAACATCAGTGATGATCACTATGCATCTGCAGCATGGCCAGCAGTCATGAAATCCTCACTTTGCATGTATGATGGTGATGATGATCATCACTACGCATCCCCAGCATCACCAGCAGTTACCGCGACGACATCCTGATGATAATCAGCACTATGCATCACCAGCATGAGCAGCATTTGCCATAACAATCATGACTATGCATCACTTGCATCCCAAGTCGGGTCTAACGGCACAATTGAAACGTACATGAAACAGAATAATGATGATGATCCGGATGCTGCGAACCATCACCCAACATCAGTGGTGATGATAACCATCACGAAGACAAGGACGAATACAAACACTTCCCGCGCGCCTCCCCTTTGGAGAAAGGGATCGGCGGATTCACTGGTGACGGAATCGTTTCTCCCCTTTGGCCTCGGGCACGAAAGGCGCCTTTGTGCAGATTCTTCTGATTGAGGTAGGCAGAGGTTGGGCAGTTGTTTTTGTAGTGCGGGATCATGTTTAGTAATTTCATTGCGAGTGGAAGATGTTTGCCATACATCATGCAATGCTTGGGTACAAAACGAGATATGGCGCACTCCTGACTACTAAACCTTCCCCCTTCCCCATTCCCGTCAGCAAGGAATTTGGGATGCTGGTTTTGGACCTAGGCAAGATGGCAAGTAGAACCATGGCTGGAATTGACAATCGCCAAGGTATGGACAGAGTCCTGGAATCTCTGGAGTCCGAGACGCGGCCAGATTGGAAGCCCAACGCTGCCTTGCTGCAGATTGAGTCGACCTGCGCATACTCGGTTGCGTTCATGTACTTGAAGTATTTCAAAGGCAAGCATCTATCTCCCTGTTTTCGGGAGGCTACACTTAAGGTCTGGGTGAAACAAGAGATTGATAGAAGCTTGCCTGGGTATTGGCCAGAGGGTTTGATTAACACTCACAGTGCAACGGGCAATGATCTATGAATACATCTATGCACTCGCTCCGCGGACTCGACAACTGGACTGAAGGGTTTCCATGTTGAGCTTGGGTTTCGTGACCAGCAGGACGGTTTAAATCTCTCTCCGGCGCTGTAACTCGCTTTTCGTTGGATCTTACAACCTGGACATTCCGAAGTTCACAGAAGCTCAGCAGCCACCTGGGTCGGGTCCCTAATGTTTGAGCACACCCATATCAATACATACACACATATGGGCATTTGAAAAAACAAATCACACACAGACATGTATCTGTATGTGCAAGAAGCTGTGTTTGAGAAGGACGACCGTCGTGCAGTTGACGACTCAGGTGGCTTTGGTAATCATCGACATGCTGGTGCCAGTCTTAGTTGCACTCAGCCTTCTTTTTTTATGCCCCGCTTGTTCGGGTTTCCGATGCAGGGGCATGAAGTTGCCGTTTAATTGCTCCTGCCTATGGGCCAATTGAGGCCCAGGCCCCGCCGATTTCCTCTTTCGGAGGAGTCTCTTTGTTGCAAAGGGCTGTCGAAGGCAAAGCCAGCAGGATGTGTGGCCCAGGCCTAATCCCAACTTTCCACCTTGGGTTTTTCGCATGGGCCTTCGCTGCACAAAATTGATTGCGCAGGCATGGAAGGAACTCAATGAAGAGTTTGATAAACCAACCAACTGCAAATGGCTTGAACATCTCCATCCACCGGGGCAAAAAAAGCAACAACAAAAAACGAAAAACCGAATGCGACACCGAGGCCAGTTGGGGAGGTTCCGGGAAGCGCCCCCCAGCCCAGTGCCACCCAGTGCCACGCGGAAGCCAGGTGCGAAGAGGCTTCCTGAAGCCCGAGGAGCCCGGTTATGTGGAGCTGATCCACGCTCTACGGGTGTGAGGCCTGAGGAATTTGTGTTGTTTTGAATTGAAAGTTTGCTTCTGTATTTTTGTTGCGTCTTTGTCTCGTTGTTTGTTTGTTTGTTTGTTTGTTTGTTTGTTTGTTTGTTTGTTTGTTTGTTTGTTTGTTTGTTTGTTTGTTTGTTTGTTTGTTTGTTTTTGTTTGGTTTGATTGATTGATTGTTTGTTTGCTTGTGTGTTGGCTTGTTTGCGTTGTCTGCTTTGTTTGTTTGTTTGTTTGTTTGTTTGTTTGTTTGTTTGTTTGTTTGTTTGTTTGTTTGTTTGTGTGATTGTTTGTTTCTGTGTTTGCTTGCTTTGTTTGTTTGTCTGTGTTTGTTTGTTTGTTTGTTTGTTTGTTTTTTGTTTGGTTTGCTTGATTGATTGTTTGTTTGCTTGTGTGTTGGTTTGTTTGTTTGTTTGTTTGTTTGTTTGTTTGTTTGTTTGTTTGTTTGTTTGTTTTTTGTTTGGTTTGATTGATTGATTGTTTGATTGCTTGTGTGTTGGTTTGTTTGCGTTGTCTGCTTTGTTTGTTTGTGTGTGTGTTGTTGTTTGTTTGTTTGTTTGTTTGTTTGTTTGTTTGTTTGTTTGTTTGTTTGTTTGTTTGTTTGTTTGTTTGTGTGTTTGTTTGTTTCTGTGTTTGCTTGCTTTGTTTGTTTGTTTGTTTGTTTGTTTGTTTGTTTGTTTGTTTGTTTGTTTGCGTGTTGTCTGCTTTGTCTGCTTTGTTTGCTTTGCGTGTTTGTCTGTTTGTTTGTTTGTTTGTTCATTTGTTTGTTTATTTGTTTGTTTGTTTGCTTGCTTGCTGTGTTTGTGTGTGTGTTTGTTTGCTTTGTTTGTTTGTGTGTTTGTTTGTGTGTGTGTTTGTTTGTTTGTTTGTTTGTTTGTTTGTTTGTTTGTTTGTTTGTTTGTTTGTGTGTTTGTTGGTTTGTTGGTTTGTTTGTTTGTTTGTTTGTTTGTGTGTTTGCTTGCTTGCTTGCTTGCTTGCTGGCTTGCTTGCTTGTTTGTTTGTTTGTTTGTTTTCTTGTTTGTGTGGTTGGCTTGGCTTGCTTTGCTTGCTTTTCTTGTTTTGCTTGCTTTGCTTGCTTTGATTGCTTGTTTGTTGGCTTGGCTGGCTGGCTGGCTTGCGGGCTTGCTTGCCGCCTGCTTTCTTGCCTGCTTGCTTGCTTGCCTGCTAGTTTGATTTAGTTGCTTTATTTGTTCGTTGTCGTGTCGACTCTGGTGAAGGGACCACAGACGGGTGGTTGTCCTGTGTTTTCCTCACATGTTCTGTTGGTGGCTTTTTAGTTTTCAGACAATTTACTTGTGGTCGCACGGCTCAAATGCTGATGCAGAGCCATAGCCAGACAAGCCATCGCACCTAGTGACCATGAGTGACTATTAGGGGCCCGTAAGGATCAAGGGCAATGTCTTTCTCATGGCTCCCCTTTCTATGGCTCATCAGGAATTGAACTTTGAAGCCGGCCAGAGGGAGTCTCCGTGGTGGGCAGGACACTTGGTGTACAAAAATACCGGGGCACTTTGAGACGCGAACTGAACATGTTGTTCGCTCTGGTTTGCAATGTGTGTCTCACTTCCCACGGATGGTTGCCAGATCATACAAGCCAGACGCAGATGCATCCTGCGCCGCTCCCCCCCCTTCTTCTTGGGGGAAAATTTTAGCGAGCTGACCTGCCCGGATTCTCATGCGGGTCAGAATCTTTGGTGATTGCAGTATGTGTGTTTCCTTCCACAAAGCCGAAGAGCCCAGACCCCTTTTGGCAGCCGATTTTTCTTTTTGCAGAAGTGGCCTGCGCACTCCCAACATTTAGAGGATGCGATGTGCACTCCAAGGTGACCTTTGCCTGTTGTGCGAACAAGAAAGATTGCCATCATCACTTGCCCAGTCGTTTGCCTGAAGTCGACGAAGTGGTCCCTGGGTTTGCGGTGAGGACATGTCAAGGGTTCACTTGTTTCGGACCAGAGTCAAGACATGGTATTCTGTGTGGGGGGTAAAAGCTGAGGTAGGTTGGAAGATAACTCCGCCTTGCCAGGAGTTGGGTGAGGATCTGCCCGGCAAGCTGAGCCCAGCGTGCAAAAGGTCCGAGCTTTGTTGCGCTTGCGGGCACGGTGGGTTCGCTTCAGCGGAAGCCACGAAGGTGGGGCGGTTGCTCTGTACTTCGCCTGAGTTTGCTTATACCGGGGGGGGATACTGTAGGTGTACAATCCCATGTGCAAGTGAGGCAGCCTGGTAGTTTTCCTTGCAAGAAGCACCACAGGGGTACCCTGGCAAGAAAGACATACCCAGTTCCGTGCATCGCGCAGTGAATGGCAGCGGCCCAGCGATATCGGAAATTGAGGGTTGAATTGGCCAGATGTATAGGCCATGGGCGGTTTTGGGTGCTAGGATGCTGGTCAGCTGAGTTTCCCTCTTGCCGGCCTCAGCGCGGGGGTGTCACGGTGTCCGAAGCAACCACACCTTTCATGAGCCTGTTTGCCTTTCCAGATCGCTTGGGTTTAACCAACGAAGCCCTTTCAATTGCTTACCGAAAGTATCTGCTTAGTCGGCAAGCTCAAAACTTGCTGGTATGTCTTGATGGGAGTAAAGAACCAAATAAGTGTTCGCTCTTTCTGGCAAGTCCACTGAAGACGTCAGTTCCAAAAAGCGCACCAGACACTATCAGCGGATTGTCAGGACAAGCGGAAGAGACTCGCCCGCGCTTGGATCCAAGGTGTATTGCTATGCCGCGGACGACCTGTGCGTCGGTTGCCAGGCCTTGCGCCTTTGATGGTTTCCCTCCGTCGACCCCCGACCCCCACTTCAGATTTCTAGGTCCCCCAGTAGTGCCCTTTTACCGTTTCTTCTTTTGGGGAGGGTTCCCCTACTAAAATAGACTACAGAAAAAAGGGTACCCTTTTTCTGGCCTCTCTACTGGAGGACGTAGAGATGCTCAGAGTCAGGGGGACAGGGCGAGCTTGAGATGCGTGCGAACTCGAGTTTCTTTCTCGGGGGCGGGAATACAGCCCTGCGCTTGGAACCGAATCGTTTGGCAAGCGGAAGCCACTTAGGCGCAACATGGAAAAGGAAGTTGCGGAGCAAGCATCCAATTCCAGCAGATGTGTTGCTTTGCCATGTACTCGGTGTCAACGTGGTACCTGTGTTGGCAATGTAGCTTTCGACTTGTTTCCAGTGTGCCTCTGACTATCTATACTTCAGGTCCAGCTCGCACTGCTGAGCACTCCTAGTCGCTAGCGATGTTGCTGCATCCAAACCACCAGCGTCTTTTGAAGGTCTGGAAAAAGAGGTTCACATGTTTTGTGCAATTATTGGATGCGTCAGGATGCCAGAAAACAGGCCAGAAACGCCGCCGTGCGCTACTCGGGCCGGACGCCAGAAAGCGTACATTCGACTTCTGCCGAAAACGCACGCGCGCCGACGCTGCAACATTCACTTCAGGGGGGTCGTTTTACAATGTGGACAGCCCAGATCTCACCTCGCAGTGTCTTTTCTCAATGCACCTTCTAGTTGTGTGTGTGTGAGGGTGTGCGAGCGCGTGAGTATTTCTGTGTGTATGTGTATGTGTGTGTGTGTTGTGTGTTGTGTGTTGTGTGTTGTGTGTTGTGTGTTGTGTGTGTGTTGTGTGTTGTGTGTGTTGTGTGTGTGTGTTGTGTGTGTTGTGTGTGTGTTGTGTGTGTGTGTGTGTTGTGTGTGTTGTGTGTGTTGTGTGTGTGTGTTGTGTGTGCTGTGTGTGTGTTGTGTGTGTTGTGTGTGTTGTGTGTGTGTTGTGTGTGTTGTGTGTGTTGTGTGCGTTGTGTGGGTTGTGTGTGTGTGTTGTGTGTGTTGTGTGTGTTGTGTGTGTGTTGTGTGTGTGTGTTGTGTGTGTGGTGTGTGTGTGTGTGTGTTGTGCGGGTTGTGTGTGTTGTGTGTGTGTGTGTTGTGTGTGTTGTGTGTGTGTGTGTTGTGTTTGTGTTGTGTGTGTTGTGTGTGTGTTGTGTGTGTTGTGTGTGTTGTGTGTGTTGTGTGTGTTGTGTGTGTTGTGTGTGTTGTGTGTGTTGTGTGTGTTGTGTGTGTTGTGTGTGTGGGTGTGGTGTGTGTGGTGTGTGTGTGTGTGGTGTGTGTGTGTGTGGTGTGTGTGTGTGATGTGTGTTGAGTGTGTTGTGTGTGTGTGGTGTGGTGTGTGTGTGTGTGGTGTGGTGTGTGTGTGTGGTGTGTGTGGTGTGTGTGTGTGTGTGGTGTGTGTGTGTATGTGTATGTGTGTGTGTGTTTGCGTGCCTGTGTCTCTGTGTGCCTGTGTCGTCTATGTCTTGCTGTTTGCGTGTGTGTGTGCGTTTGTGTGTCTGCCTTTGTGTCTTGGCACAATATATGATGTGTGGCCTGTGGATATCGCGGATTGATCTGACATGGCTTCTCACATGTTCGGAAGGCTTGATGGACAACATATCTGCCAGCAGCAATGCGGGGATAATCTTGCTCTGCCACATTGGGTGATGTGTTGAAGCACTGCTGCAGTGGTGTGCCGGATAACAGCATGAGCGCTCAAACAACTTGCTCTCGCCCAAGTTGCTCCTCAACATCATTCTCCTTGGCCATTGTGCATCCACAAAAGCCGAAAGAGCCCTGCAATCCCAGGGACCCTACAGAACAACAGAAGGCTTTGACAGGGGACGGGGGGGTTCTTTGGAGGTGGCGTCCCCGATTTCTTACGGCTGACTCCAGTTCAGGGGGTCCCGGCACGTCATGCTGTTCCAATGGCACGGGTGCCATTGGCCGTTGCATCATAAAAAATATGCCGGCAGTTCAGTCATTTCATACTGGGCGAGAGCTGACTAGTAAGACTGAACGACTCCACAACCCGTTTCCTGTTGCTCAAAACTGAATCAGCGGTGACTGGGTGCTAAATAGCCCATATCTGTTATTGTCCCAAACGGAAACCGACAGGTTGTTTGTGTGTTTCCCAGATCCCCTATTTAACGCCCTGACAGCATTTTTTGCAGATTGTTTAATCAAAGTCACCCAATGCCTGGGGGACAGGGGCTCTGACTCTGCCCCTTAAAAACAATGCCAAACCCAATGCATCAGAAATGGTTTGCTCGCAGTGTGTCTTGACTTTGTTGAGGGTACTTGTTGCCTTTTTTTGGGAAGGATTATGTTTGAAGGGAAACTACAAGTTGAAGCCGCCCATTTTGGGAACGGTACCAGAAAGACTTAAATCCGAACTAGGCACTGCACGAAACAAGTTTGTGCAGGTCACCAATGGCGTTAGCTTCAGTTCTGCCCAGCGCTCAGTGAATCACACCAATGATATGATTTGCTATTGGATAGGGTTGATCAATATTCCATTGGGGCCTCCGGTTTTGACCATGGGTAACTCTTCCCATGTGGGACATATCATCATTTTAGTAGTTTGCCCGAATATCCTATGTAAAGGACCTTTTGATCAACCCCCATATGTCGTTGTTTTCAACCACCAGCGACCAGAAAGCCACCCTGGACAGTCTGAGTCTAAAGTTGAAATGCTCTTTGGTCCAGATGTTCTTTCCTTTACTCAGAGCATGTGTTGCTCGCAATACAGTCTCCAGCCATTGTCAAACAAGTCGTGCTTTGGGCACAACTCCGCAAGGCCGTATTTTGCCTTGTTTTTTGCCTCAAAGTCGCCCTAGTTGGATGGCGTTCAACACTGGGGGGGGGGGTTAATTTTTGCCCCATTTTGGTAGTTCTATTGTCACCTTTCAGGCCAATCTAAAGCTTCTTTTGGTTGGGTGATGTGGACCCCTGTTTGGAGGGAAACCAAAAGGACACAAGCTATTTTGCTGCTTACAAGCAGACTGCCGTGTAGTGCAAGAATGCGCAGAACTGATGTTGCACATGTGGCCACAGATGATTCAAAGCTTGGGATGGTATTTGGTCTTTAGTATGTTGTTCTTCTGTGGTGGTGCATATGAACATGGCCCGTCGAGGATGCATCACACTGACAGACCTTTTGTGTTGCATGTAAACATATTTGATGAATGATTTATTTGCGTCTCTTGAAACATCCAACAGTCAATGTTACACGGCCGAAGTGTTCGATCTTTGGCTAAGGCGTTGCAGCCTGGGGCCATGCTTTTTGCCTTGAAGCTCTCTTTCTTTGTTGGCTTTTCCAGGACTGGATAGTATGTCATGTCGATTTGGTCGGAACGTTCTGTCAATTCTTGGCCAGCTGTGCTTCTAATGTGACTAGCAGTGGCTACAGCACAAGGATCCGTGGCAGAGCAGGCGTGAAAATCGTTTGTCACAAGTGTGGCGTATTCTGGAAAAAGACCAATCACGCCGTCGAATGGCTGGTCTCCTTAAACAAGTTTTCCTCGGAATATCTGGAATTGAAGAGTTTGTTTTAGGCAAAGGGAATGACTAGAGCAATCTGGGATGCGTTGTCTTCCACCCGTTCTCAAGCTTCAAAGGTGCAAGTAAGATCCACAGTGCAGCCTGGTTTAGGGCCATGCTCAATTGAGGTGGTGGCTACCAAAGGCACGATCCGCACCAAAGACTACACCATGCCTGGCATGAGGCGCGCGGCTGGGTAACTTGCAATCTTTTTGTTCAATGCATCCAAAGTGCCTGTAAGCTGCCGTACCGTGGAACGCACCGTTCAAACACCCGAGACTCCTGCCCTAGACTGAGGTAGCCAGGTTTTTATCGGACATGGGCTCTGTTCTGAGTATCAAGCATGCTGGCCCAAGCTTACAGCTGTACCCCCGGTTGCATCCACTTCCCGAGCCATCCTGAATCAATTGTTGGCCTGAAGGAGAGACAAGCAGCGGTGGCAACGATTTGGTAGACATGAAGGATTGGTTTATTGCATTTGCACTGTACTTTGCTGCAAGACTTTTGTTTGCCTGGTGCTGTGCAAGCAAGATGTGAGATCGTCGCATACTGGCTGAATGATTCGGTGCCTTAGATTGTGTGCTGCGCTGCGTGTATTTATTTGGCGCTTGAATACATGGTTTGTCGACGTTGTCGACATGGATGTTCTAGGGAAAGGGAGACAAAGGTGTCTAGGGCCAGGGCAGGCTGTCCAGAGCTTCGCTGTGGAACGCAGTGGGTCAACGCCGTCCAGAGCTTCGCTGTGGAACGCAGTGGGTCAACGCCGCTGGGTCTTCTTGACACTCACCGAAAAGATACGACGACCGAGTGAGTACCGCAGGCTTTGCTCAGATTTGTTGCCTTGCATCTTGCACTTCGGACTTGGGTTCCTATAGCGCGCTTCTGAGCGGGGCAAACGTTGACGTTCGCGTCGATGACTCAGTGTCAATGTCGCAGTTGTTCTTTGTACGTTAAGTTTCTTTGTTCATTGCTTCTTCATCGGTCGTATCATCTATAGCGGCAGCCAACCTTCGTTGCCAAGTTTCCAGGGTCAGACGCAAACCCGTGTAGACCGGGAACTTCTCTAAGGACGCTTTTGAAAGGCAGCCATCATGAAGCCAACCATCTGTACCGCAAACTGCGTTACAGGTATGTGGCGGCAGAGTCCATTGCCAGCGACAAGATCCTTGTGACGTTACAAGTGGACGAAGGCACGCTGTTGTGGTTTGGCGGGCACGTGCGGGCTAAAAAGAAAGGGGGTACCTTCCCACCAACTAATATAAGTGCAAGAGGACCCTTTCCAAGAGGAAAGTAGTCTTTCTACAGGGGTCTGTGCAAGCTGGTGGGAGGGTAATTGAAGTATGAGTTGTTGTGTGCGTCAGCCTTTGGGTGCATGCTTGACAGCTCGAAGGCGAGATGGCATAGTCAAACATGATGCTGAGTCGAGAGCGATGCACTGAGCATGCTGCTACAGTGGCGCAATGGAATTCAGATCTTTGGTGGCACTTCAAAGATACGGCGGATTCCCATTTAATTTGTTTCCTGTCAGTGAACCATCGTCCAACAACAGTTTGCGCGTGGGTTGAGCTTCGGGATTTTCCCACTTCCCAAATAGCTGTTCGATTCGCGAAGTTAGTACACTGTTAAGCTCCCTAAAGCTAAAATCACCCAGTCACTAGTGTGCATAGCACTCAGGTGTTGCCCACTAACTTGGCAACGAACATCCAAGTAGCAAAATGAACGGAAAAGGATCCCCCTTAAACTTCCGGATTTGATTTACGGTTTCATTTTCCCCTTTGTGGGAATACTAGACACATGGGTGTGTCCTAAATAGGGGGACCCTCCAAAACGGCGGTTTGTCCTTTTGGTTTCCCTTTACCCCCCAAAAAAAGGTACCTGGCTGTTTGAGGGCCCTGAATACATCGGGAGCTTTTGGGTACTCAAAACAAGACAGACCCAAGTGGAAATTGCGACCCCCCTCCCGCCCCTCTCCCCCAGTTGGGCATCGGACAATGAGAAAACGCGCGCCGTCGCTCGCCAGGGGCCATGGTTTGGTGCGCCGCCTGGAGCCGGGGCCCAAGGTCTGCCCTGGCCCCGTGGGCGGTGCAAATGTTGGGGGGGTTTGGACTTCAAGCCATGGGGTGAGGCCGGCGGGTTTAACTTTGTTACTCCTGGGATTTGGAATCTTCTCGCTCTGGTAACGATTCCCCAAAGATTGCAACCAGCAAGAACACCACCGGAACACAAAACATATGGCAGAGCTCAGTCCGGAGTTGGATCACTGCGGCGTCTGTAGTTGAAATTTCAATGGAGGGCCATTTTTTTAGGATTTTTTTTCGTTTTTTTTTAGGAATTATTTTTGTTTTTCAGGGTCGGTGGCTTTTCGGCTTTTGTGGCTTTCGTGGCTTTTCATTTCGCATCATCTGCATTCACAGTTCCTCTCTTTTCGCATCCTCTGCATTGCCAGTTCCGCTGCGGCAGGTGGCTTTTTGGCTTTTGGCTTTTTGGCTTTTTGGCTTTTTGGCTTTTGGCGGCTGGCTTTTCGCATCCTGATGCTTTTCCAGTTGGCTTCCTGCATCCTCAGCATCGCAAGTTCCTCTCTGGGCCCCCCGCCACCCCCCTTTCGATTAAAATGCACGCCTATTTGAATCATCACTTTTTCGATCATCATGCGACAGCTACTTTTTAGATTCTTTGCCCCTATTTTTTCGATCATCATGGGGGGGGGTGGTGCCGTTTTACAGGGATTAGTTTGCCCGTATTTGAATCCTCACTTGTACCATGAGGCCTTGCCGCAGAGGAACCGATGACCCCCCTGCTGTTTTTTTTTTTTTTGTTTTATAAATATTTGTTTGGCCCTAATTGAATCATCACTTTTTCAATCATCATGGGGGAGGCTGCCGCCGCCCCCAACCCCCCCGCAGTTTTTTAGATTTTTTGCCCCTGATTGAATCATCACTTTTTTGATCATCATGGGGGGGGGGGCTGCCGCCCCCCCCAACCCCCCTGCTATTTGTTGGACTTTTTGCCCCTAATTGAATCATCACTTTTTTCGATCATCATGCGACCGCTACTTTTTAGATTCTTTGCCCCTAATTTGTTCGATCATCATGGGGGGGGCTGCCGCCCCCCCCCAACCCCCCCCCCCCCCCATTTTTTTGACTTTTTGCCCCTAATTGAATCATCACTTTTTCGATCATCATGCGACCGCTCCTTTTTAGATTCTTTGCCCTTAATTTTTTGATCATCATGGGGGGGGCTGCCGCCCCCCCCCAACCCCCCCGCTATTTTTTAGACTTTTTGCCCCTGATTGAATCATCACTTTTTCGATCTACAGGGATTAGTTTGCCCGTATTTGAATCCTCACTTGTACCATGAGGCCTTGCCGTAGTGGAACTGTTCGCCCCCCCGCTGCTTTTTATATATATATATATATACCTGTGCCTTCCAAGGGCTGTAAAATTATCGCTGTTTTGGGCAAAACATGTTTTTTGGGCTCAGCGGCAATAATTTTTGCTTGCGAGCGTTTTTTGAATATCGGGTATCTATGGGATTCACTCAGAATTTTGTGTGAGCCTTTGCGTTGATTCCTCGCAAAGCTCTCCTGGCTCACTGCCTCTGCGATGACTTTGGCTGGCAACACCACGTGCGCCCTTTTCACGCTCTCGCTTCCATCGAGCCCCTCCTTTGCTCCCGCCTGGCAGGTACATGGCGATGGGACGACATGAGGAGTTTCTGCCAGGTAGCTCTGCCTTGTTTAGTGCGAAACTGAATCGTCGCCACAAACGAAATTATGATCCATGTTTTCCTTGGAATTGCCCAAAGGCTTCAAACCTATAGATTTGGCTGTGAGTACATTCCTTTGGTGGTTGGCCACCTATCATCGCCTATCGCCTGGGGCTTGCGCCAGGGGATGCTATAGTCTTTGTGGCGCCGATCTTGACCCGGCTGGCGTGAAGGCCTTGCTGGGGGGTTCTGGGAATTGCCGGGCTTCCCGTGATCTTTAGAATGTTGGCCTCGCAGCCACACTTTTGGGGTTCAAGTGGCGCAATAATGGCTGAGAAAACTTCTCAGCTTTCAGCCATGCTCGAAAGCGATTCCTCGTTGAGGAATCGCTCTAGGTCCACAGGAAGGCTAACAGCGTGGCCCAGCAGGGAGACTACGGCGTTACCCAGTGTGAAATCCATGAAGCTCAACTGCCGCGCGTTGGTCTTGATTGCAAAGTGGTGGACAAGATGTTCCCCTTCACCACAAGCAGTGCCAATCGAGACCATGCGTGAGCAAGTTTCTTGGTTTGGTCAGAAAACATGGTTGTTTATTTGAACCACACAGTATTGAAAATCCCTAGGTTCTGACTTGGACACCTTGGCCAATCAAGGTTCGAAACTTTCGGGAACTCATGGGCTTCACACCGGACCCTTCAGCAACCAGCTTTGACTCGTGGGGATTGAAGAAATTATTTACACATGGGCTTCGTCGATGGCTCAGTGGAGCTAAGAAGCCAAAAGACGCTTGGAGCTGATTTCGAAAGTTGCCTGTCCCTTTTGCGCAACACATTGTAAAACATTCAAAAGGGTTAAAGCAATTGCAAAAGACCAAGCATTCAAAAATGTATTGGGGCAAAACCCCATGGACACTCCTTGCAAGCCCCTTGTTTTAGACTGAAAGCCAATCGTTGGGAGCCTTGTTGAAAGTTGTGATTACTTGTGATGAGCCGTGGGCCCTTACCCAAGGATGCTCAATTAGAAGAGTTCTGGCGAATTCTCAACCAAGCGTGGGAGGTTCCCGACACGGCGTCTGAGTGCGGCCTGCTCGCTTTGGAGGACGGCAAGGTTCAAGTCGATGACCTGCCAGCCCAGGATGATGGCTATGATGCTGGGTGCGATGCTGACATGTCAGGAGAAGGTGAGGAGGCAGAGGCAGGTGATCAGGAGGCAGGGGATCAGGAGGCAAGTGATGAGGAAGGTGAGGGGGTGAGTGATGAGGAAGGTGAGGAAGGTGGGGTGGGAACTGAGGAGAAGGAGATGGATGGTGAAGCATGTTGTGAACACGTTGGTTTTCATGGTGGTGAGAATGATGGCGATTATGGAAACAAGAGGTGCTGTGCACAACAGGATGCTCAACCCACAACACCGCGCGCAGCTCTCAAACCCTGTGGTGTAGAAGAAATCACTATTTCGTCCAGCCCTGACCCTGAGCCTCTCATGGACAAGAAGCAGGCTGAGCTTTCCATCCCTGGGCTGATCAAGCTTGAAACCGGGGCCCGTGCGCAGCCTTGGCAGGGTGCACCGATCCGAGCCAGCGAGAGCACCTGAAAACGGTGTTGTGCAGGGCCAACTGTTTGAGGCCTGGTGGAACAATCTGGCTTTGCCAAACGGTCAAGGGGGCAACATGTTAAGCGTCTCTGTTTCAAGGGTTACCTCTTATGTTCAAATCGGAATGGGAACTTTCCTTGCCCAGGGCTCAATTGGAACGCAAGCAGCTGCAGCGATTTCCAAGTGTGGTGAGTGGCCTGGGAAGCGGCCTGCCTTTCCATCAGCAACCTTTCGCGGGAACCAACCGGCAAAACTTGGTTGCGCGGGATTCAAATTGCACCCGCGAAATCAAACACAAACAAGGGCTCCTTTTTTGCAATGGTTGTGAAAAACAAGAATTGTAACTGCCGTCTCCCATCGCCCAGGTATGGACAACCTCGAAACCTTGCCGATGGACCCTACTGCAGCAAGTAGCGCTGCCTCTGCAATCGCTCAACCTGGTTCGCCTGTTTCGATCGCATCAACCCTGTCTTTACCTCCCAGCTTCAAGGAGGCTTTGAACGTCAAGGATGATGAGGTGGACCCAGGAATCCCACCTACACAGCCTGAGGTTCTGCCTGTTGAAGCTGAAACGCCACAGTCGCCTCCAGCCAGCCACATTGAAGGAGACCCAGCAATGCCAATCAAAGAGGCAGAGCCTGCCCCAGAACCCGCCTCGAATGTGAAGCCCGCAAAGCGCAAGCGCGGCGAACCTGCCATTGCAGAAGACACACAAGAAGACTTAAAGATGCCAGAGTCTTTGCTGGACTTGAAGGTGGGGCTTAAGCGTGTTTGAGTGGTTTGATTTTTTGTTTCAACTAGACAGGGCACACGTTCCTTTGATGGTTTCCTTGACTGATCAGTGGAGGTACCACTGGTGAGGCGGCGGGAGCAGCTAGGAACTGGCTCCAAGAAAGGCTCTGCCACGGAGAAGTGTGAGAACGATGGCAACGAGGTTGACGAGCTAGAGCACAACCCGGACGTTGTTGACGAGCCGGCGGGCTTGAAGGGTCCTACCAAAGCCGAGTTGCGTGCGAGGGCGAAGTCGGCGGCCAAGGCGAAGGCCAAGGGCGGCCGTGGCAGGGGTGGCAGAGGTGGCAGAGGTGGCAGAGGTGGCAGAGGTAGCAGGGGCGGCAGAAGCTTGCAGGAGACACGCTCCTCAGATCAAGGTGGCGCCCCACCTGATGCACAGGCGGAGACAGGCTCCCCCAAGTCGGGCGCTGGCGAAGGTGGCGCGGGAAGTGATGTCAAGGAAACCTTGCCGGAGAAGCAGGCGGAGACAGGCTCCACCAAGAAGACAGGCGCTGGTGAAGCTGGCGTGCCAGCTGATGTGAAGGTGAGCTCGCCAGTGAAGAAGGGGCGCGGCAAGAAGCGCTTGAGCCGTGGCGGGAGCGAGGGCGTTGAGAAGGGCAAGGATGATGCCGCAACGCCTACATCCTCCAGCGCGAAGACACCCGGCAAGGAGGAGTCGGCGACTACTACTTCTACTACCATCGCGAAAAAGGCCAGCAAGCGTGCCAAGGGTGATGACGGGCGTCCTCTCACTTTCGCAGCTCGCTACTGCCCTGCTGGAGAGGTTGGCACGGCCCAGTTCAAGGCGATTAAGAGCGTGTTCGAGTCGCGTTTGCAGCCAGCACTGAAAGCTCAATCTCGTCATCAGGACGGGGTTGGGCGTGGGCTTGTGGCTCTTCCTTCAAAGTGGCCTTTTGCCAAAACAAAATAGTTGTTTGTTTGTTGGCTCTTGGGCCCGCGCAGTTGCAGGATGCTTGGTGGA